AACTGTAAAAGCTCCACTGCTGGGAGGCAATGATGTTATACGTGGAGCAGAAGGCAACAAGCACTTGTTGATAGACTGGTTTCTTGATTAGGATTTATTCATGACTCATCTATGGAAGAATTCCTTTCCATTTATCTCAAGAGTTTCTCAAACTCAGCACTACTGGCATTTTGAACCAGCTAATTCCTTGCTGAAAAGTGCATCTTTGGGGGCGGGGGATGCCTGTGCATTGTAGATTGTTCAGAAATCAAACATCCTACTACGTCTATCCTTTAGATGCCGGTAGCAGTCCCCCTCTCCACCCCCCAAGTATAGAGACAACCAAAAACATCTCCAGACATCGCCAAATGTCCCCAGCTAGTGGTGCGGGACAAAATTGTCCCCCAGTTGAGAACCGCGGATTTAACTGAGAGACAAAATCTCACTATATTCTGACAAAGCTCTGTGACTTTTGCATCCCTGACCTGTAAATGATAGCCAATAGTAGTTATCTGGCATTACTCTCTAGAAGGCTCTCTGCTGAACTATTTGCCCGGATTAATTCATTCAGTCCTAGAATAGCAAAGGTTCAAGTAACTTTCACTTTACAGATGAAGACATTGAGGGTTAAAGGATTGAAGCCACTTGCCCAGGTTCAAAGTCAGAATAAAGAGGAGCCTGTGTCTGGATCCAGCTCTGTAGGATTCCAGAGTCTTCACTTTTAAGCATTCCTGCTGTACTTTGTCACATGAGATAAGATGATCAAACAGCCCCACTCTCTGTTGAACATAAGACAACACTCGCTGAGGTGAACCTGACTTGAGACCTCAGAAGAATAAAAGCACACAGCTATCTAAGGGCTGTGCTTGCCTGCTTGAGCATTATTTACATGAGCTGTGAAACTCGGCACAGCATTGAAAAACCAAGCATGCCTGAAGAAAGGCAGCAAGTCCTAATGTATTCATGCATAATCACCATTTAATTCCATAGAAACCATTTTTTTTTGTGGGGACATTGTATTTTCTTTACAAATATTTTTATATTCTTTTTAGTGATGTGGAAAGAGAGAAAGCTGTCCAAAAGTGGGAAGCAACGTTGGTAAGAGTGGGTCAATAAAAGTACATATTACCTGATAGATACGAGTGCCAAAAGCCTTCCTCTGGGCTCAATAAGCTCAGGACAAATGCTGTTACTCATGAAGCATCTAGGTGGGTATGTTTTGTCAAGTACTTAACAAGTTAATGCCCAGTGTTTTAATGTCTAGGATCTAGGCTCTTTCAAAATACAGAAGCTGCTCATATTATTCCCAATTCCTGGACCCAAAAATGTAGACAGGGTAAGGTTGTGCAATATGTATCAAGTCCCAGAAGCCAAGAGAGGGCAAAGGAAAACTTTAATTACAGAAGGATGTATAACTCAGGTCATTCTACATGTACTGTCAATCATTAATGCCCACTGAAAGAGTAACCTGGATAGCAAAGGTATTTAGTTTCTTGAAAGCTCTGTCGCTCGTGGATGATTCCTTCTCAACTGACCACAGACAAGATTGTTAACTGCTCATTTACTACAAGGAAGCGTTTGCATTTCCCTCTGTCTTAGGAGTTGGTTCTGCTCCCCAAAAGCAACCAGAATTCCTAACATCTGTAATTTGATATACATATTTATTTCTTCAATAATCTTGAACCTTAGAAGTATGAAGAGCATTATTTCTACCAATAACAAGAACACACCAGTGACCCCACAGCAGCCAGAAGATCTGGTCCTCATCTGATTCAAGGTTCAGTTTGAGGACATGAAGGCAGAGCATGGTTGGAATTTTGTTCTCAGCTCCCCTAGCCAGTGTCACACATGTCTGGTCAGTCCACACTGCCACCCTCATGCTTGGAGAGACAGGTCCTGGGGAAGCGCCTGGCTGTGAGTCTGCCTCCAGAAGGTGTCTGTGTCAGTTTCCCTGTGCCAGTCGCTGCCTTTCATCTGACTCAGCTGAACAGTCAGATGCAGCAGGCACCTGAATTCTGAAGGATATTGCTGTGAAAGTCAGATTCTTTGTGTTACAAAGGACAGAAACCCAATTCAAATTTGTTTAGGCAAAACTGGGAAGTTATTACCTTTCCTAAATGAAAAACTTTAAGCGTGAATCCTCCCAAACCATCTGCACAGCACTTTTAAGTTATAAAGAATCTTCACATTTATTGGATTGTTAGATAGGTAGGTAGGTAGGTACCAGGTAGGTAGGTAGATAGATAGATAGTCAGATGGATAGATAGATGGGCAGTTAAAGAGGTAGGTAGGACAGATCTGAACTTCATTTTCTAGATGCCATTAGACGATGTGCTCAAGGTCTGTCAGCTGGTAAATTGCATAGCGGATTACTAGTTGACCCCAGGTATCGTGAATTCTAAACACTGTGCATTTCCCAGTATAGCACATCTTGAAAGGAAAGTATTAGACAAGATCCTTATCCTCAGGATATTCAATTAATAGTGAACAGAAAAGAAAGAAACTGACATCCTTGAAAGCACTTTTGTGTGAAGAATTGTTTTATGCTTTATTAGTACCACATTTTCTTTTCATAAGAGGAATTCTACAGGATTGTTTTGGGGAACTTCTACTACTAGCATGTGCAAAGTAGAAGAGGACACTGTATTTTGTCAGTCATACTAAATGGACACATGGACCAAGGATCATATTATTGTCATCAGTGTATCACTGTCATGTCGCTATTGCCAGAGGCGATCACGAGCACCTAGGCAGTGACTCCTAGCGAGGGCCTGTGTGCAACCGGAGAGTCTCAAAAGCCAGCACTGCATTTCATTCATCATCATATCCCTCACATTAAGCACAAATTTGGTTGAATTAATGGAGAACAAGTCCTAATGAGTAATAAAATCTGAAGAATGAGTAGAGGGAAAATGGAACTCTAAAGACTTTACGAGGACCGTGACTGTAGATGTTATTCTTTTTGAGAGTGTAATGAAAATGAATCATTTCTTGAACTTCCCATTGGTTATAAATGAAGATTACTAATTGATGAAGGACACATACAAGTTACCCTATTGTTGTGAGGCTGTATAAAGTTTCAACAGAATTAAAATAGAGAGGTACCGCTCCTGCCACCTGCACTATGAATCCCATCCCCCCTCCCACATCAGGGGCTTTTTGCCATCAAATACCCTCTCTTCCCTTGCAGGTTGACTCAACAGAAAATTACACTCATCAGTACCAATATTGAAACAATCCTGGTTCCTCTCTGTGTCCCCCTGGGACTATTGCTCTCTTTCCTTCCTTTCAGAACCAAAGTCTAAACTCATTGTCTCCAATTCTTCATTTTTCATTCATTTTTCATACTGTGACTCGGTTTTCACGCCCTCTATTCTGCCAGTTTCTGATACCATATACTAATTTCAATTTCAGAAGTATTCTTTGCATTCCTTATGTTACTTGACCTCTCTCTGGCAGTTGACAATATAAATTACTCCTACCTTAAAACTCTCTCCTCTGAAGGCCACGTTCCCTGGATTTCCCCTATTTACTCCTTCTCACTTGGATCTTCTCCTTACATGGTCTTCTCCCTCTTAAATGCTTTTATTCTCCCAAGGTTTCATTGTCAATAATCTTAGCTATCTACACACTCTTTTAGAAAGTCTTACCTATTCTTATGCCTTTAATGACTACCAACAATTTAATATCTCCCAAACCTTTTGTCTCCATTCTTGAGCTTTAGATCAATAAATTCACAAACAATTCAACTGTCCAGCAATTCCAACACCACCCAAATCAACTGTGTTGTATTAAAGCTCACCCACCTTCACATCACTGGCTCCCTGGCCCCATGAGTATCAGTAGTACCCATACCGTTGTCCAGGTTGGGAACTTCAGTCATTCCAGACAGTTCTGCCAAATCAGCTCAGTTCTACTTCCCAAATATTTCTTATATTTAGCCCAGTTTTTCCCCATGCTCATTGCCACTCTCGAAATATTTCTCCTGGTTTTTTATTTTAAAAAGCTGCTTATTTGGCCCACCTGTGTATGGCCCACCTACTTACCTGCCATTCCCCATCGCCACCATTAATTCATCTCTAAAACAGCTATCAAAGGCCGTTCTAAAATCGAAGTCTGATCAAGTAATTTCTGTGCCTAAAATGCTTCGTGCTCCCCATTGCCTCCAGGATGAAATCTTAACTATAGCATGTCTGTCATCTAAGGCCCATCATTATCTGGCTCCAGAACATTTTGGCCTCATCTCACAGACACAGTTAATTTACAGCTCTAGTACAACATAGGCCTTGACAGGCACTTATTGAATGAATGAATAAATGAATGAATGGACAAATTCTGAGAAAGATGTCCTTGGATTAAAGAAAAAATGTTAGGTAGTTCTTTATTATCTTCAACAAAAAATTTTTATACAAAGACAAACTCATATACCTCCTTTTGTTTTGAAGTTCACATGTGTCATCCAAAAAAATAGGGTCTTAAATTTTGCTTCTTTTTTTGGGGAAATATATCTTCTAAGGAAGATATTAATAAGATATTTTAGAATACCCCCCAAATATACAAGGAATTCCTGAACTTGTAAATAGGCTATGTTCCAAGAATTCTCTTGTATCTTGGTTCTGTGAAATTTGGAATGCATTTTCTCATAGAAACAATGTTTTATATATTTTATTTAATTGAGTTTTAAATTATTTTAAAATAATTTAAAGTAGCATATAATAAACTACACGCCATAAGCTTTTAAAATAATGAAAGAAATTCTATAGCAATATATTTGGCCTATGGAAAGTAATTATGTCATAAATTCCGTAAACCTACACTAACCCAAAACCAAGTAGAAATGCAACTGTGAGAATCCTGTCAGCCAATACAATATGAAAGGGTGAAAATAATGAGGGTATTTATTTTTTAACTTTTTACCTCTTTAAAGCTTTTTATTTTCTAATAAAGTGATCTATACTAATGCATCAGGAGACACATTCTCTTTGTACTAAATTCCCAGGAGAAATTTTTTTTACATGGAATTTTTTTTTTTTTGGCAGAGTCCAAAAAAAAGTTTATTTGAGAACAAGAATGAAAGCTTTTGCACATCTGACAAGGTAGATGTGTTCTGATAATAGACACCATCCATATTTCAGTTCTACCAATATTATCACAAACGGAACGTATTTTTTCTAACAAAGATACGGGCATAAGTAAAGGACTACGACTAAGCAGAATCAAAGGAAAGTTGAGGCCCCAAATCTTATCCCTTAAACGGATTCACGACATAGGATTTAAATTGAACCACCCAGTCTTCTAATGCAACGGTTCTTGACTTGGCTTCTTACCAGAATCCCAGGGACTCCTTGAAAGAATGCCCCCACAATACTAGACTGTACCCGAGTCACAATCTCAGGGGGTAGAACCCCGGCATCAGTACTTTCTTAAGCATCCCAAGTGATTCCAATGTGCAGCCGAGGTGGATCACCACTGCTCCAGAGGCAGGTAACAACCATCAGCCGGTTCGTAGCCCATCCACCCCTGTAAGGAAAGGGCATCCGTGGGCATCGCAGCCTCTCGGTGATCCTGTCACTCACTCTGCTCAAGATCTCCAGATGTTATCGGCTTTGAGGACAGTTTGGGGCCTTTCCATGTGCCTTAGTGATTTTTAGAGCAATTTTTAATCAGGCAAATACCAGCAAAGAGAGAAAAGATGGAAAAAGAGAAATTTCCATAAGGCATGATACAAGTAAATAAGTGAAAAAACAATCTTGGGTTTAAAAGTAAAGCATGAGAAGACAAAGCCTGTTAAATTTTATTTATACAAAAGAATAAAAATATCTATTTTAAAAAGACTGATTTAAACTTATGTTTTTCAGCTTTTCCTGTTCCTTGAACATGAAACTGCTTCCAACTCAGAAAGATTTAAGATAGGTAAATATTAAATAAACATTCTTTACCTTCCCCCTGCAGAAAAACAAAAAGCCAAGTCCCCATTTTACTTATGGTAAACCAGATTGTTTTCAGTTAAGAGTATTGGCAACTGCACGAAACAGATGATCAAATATGTCAGCAGGAAGATATGAGCTGTACAATGGCATTACAAAAAGTCCCAGAAGAAAATAAGATGGTAAAAACAATAATAGAAAAATGATAAAACACGAACAAAATAAGAAAACACCAGATATTTACAGCCTCCCTCTGAAATGTGACCTGCATTCTAGTTTCAGCATGAAGGAAGCCCAGAGAACACTGCTTGATGCGTATCACGGACGAAGCTGGTGCCAGCCAGTTTTAGGGGGGAAACATTCATTCTAAGAAGGGAGAAGCGCACGGTTAGCAACTTGCTGGGATTATAACCATGTCTCGGGCCTTTCTGCAGTTCTGTTACTAAAAATGACACAAAGTAAATGATCCGATGTGGTCTTACAGAAATGACTTGTTTGTCACATTTCAGAAGAAACTACTCAGAGTCACAGGCGCCGGGTCTGGGGAAGCAGCGGTGGACGGTCACGCACTCGGGTGAGGGAAGCTTCTCTCTGCGAGGTCGGAGGAGGGGGGCAGGGCTCTACGGGCCGGGGAGCTCGGGCACTAGCAGTCTTCTAATAGTCAGCTCGTGGTTTTTTGTTTAACTTCAGATCAATCCTGTGCCGGTTTTTATTCTTTCGTTTTTTGTGGCTGCTGTGATGACTCCCTGAGGAAGTAGAAGCAGCAGCCTTCTGAGGTTTCACTCCCTGCACAGATCCATCCAGATCCTCGGGGTCCTCCTGGCTGGGCTCATTTTCCTGATTGTGGAAGTCTGGAGAAGTATCACTTTCCGTCCCACTTCCTGGCTCTCTCTTTTCAATGAGCTGGTCCTGAACTCCTGCCAATGCACTTACTGCAGCTGCTGAAGTCACTGAGGATTTACTGAAGAGCCGCTCCGCTTCCTTGAACTTCCGGTTCCTCCGATCGTTCTTGCTGTTGGAGTTTTTTTGGTTGGTCAGATACCGATCCCAGCCACGAATAATATTGCCATACATCTGAGTGTCTTCCAGGTAGCTTCCTTCAAAAGCATAGATCTGTCTCTCCAAATTTGCCAGTGTTTCCGCCAGCTCCTGCTTCCTCTTCACGAGCTCCGCCAGCTCCCGCCGGGTGTCCGGGATCTGCGGCGGCGCCGCCTTGTTGTGCATCGCCATGTTGGGCTGAAGCGCTTTACATGGAATCTTATACAAGGAATGTTTAATAAACTATTAGGCAAAGATGGTTTAAAAGAAAAAGTAAGAATATCACACATATGACCCATTCTTAGAGCAACCACTGCTGAAACTAAGCATATTTAATCATGTTCCTATGAAGGCATTTCTGTAAGTAATTCAAGTAACATATACCCATCTCTCTGATACTCTAACTAATATGGAATTACATCTAGTCATAGCCAGCATACATCACTTAGACTGTGTATACATGCATTATCTCATTCAGTCTTCACAAAAACCCTACAAGGTTCGGACAATCATAACCATTCCTGTGTCACAGAGGAGAAAACTGAGGCAAAGAAGTGAATGACTAGCCAAGCTCACACAGCTACAGTAACATTCCCCTTACATTTGTGCTCGCTCAGATATTCATACTCTTACTCAAGATCTTCAAAGCAGTTAAATAGAACAATGTTTGAGTTTACACTTTCTGTTGACCTTAAAATGATTTGGGCCGCTTCTCTCTTTCCGATGTTATCCTGCTCTATTATCCTTCTTGTTCACCGAATTTCTTTCTGTGCCTCTAACCAATCAAACTTGTCCCCCACATTTTACACTTGAAAAAACCCTTTACCTAGAAAATATTTTTTCTGTTACCTCTACCTAGAACACATTTCCCCAAAATCTTTGTGTGACTTATGCTTTCATATAATTCAGGTCTCAGCTCAAGAGTCCAGTGAGTTCCTCCTTGGCCGCACAATATAGAGAAACCTACTGAGATACTCTCTAATGCATCACTAGATTTTATTTTCAATCTTTTTTTTATTAGTATTGTATTTATTCTCACCTCCTAACCTCTAGAACTGTGCTAATAGAAATATAATTGTGAATCATAAACGCAAGCCACATTTATCATTTTAAACTTTTGTTTCCTCACTAAAAAAAGTAAAAAAATTAATTTTAGTAGTATATTTTATTTAATTCAGTATATCTCAAATATTACCATTTCAATAGAAACCAATAAAAAATATAATGAGATATTTCATATTCCTTTTTTCATGCTAAGTAGTCAAAATCCAGGGTTTATTTTACACTGGCAACATACTGAAATTCGAATGAGCCACACTTCAGGTACTCAGTGGCCACATGTCAAGTGTTCAGTAGCTTCAGGTGGCTGGTGGCTACCATGGAGGACAGTATAACTTAAAACTCCTCTTCGCGGGTGTATGCCTAGAACCTAAATTAGCATAATAGTGCCTGGCTCTTTGAGTGTACATTAATATGGAATGAGTAAATGAATGTTGAATGTGTGAAATATAAGTATTTTCTGTCTTGAAAAAAGATTGAAAAAAGACCCATATTCTGTTAATGCCTAATTTGCACATGACAAAGATGACATTTTCTTGTATAATTTTAGGTGAATCAGGTCAAATTTATTTACCATTCAGGTTTTTAACATAGGGAACAAATTTGTGATGCAAGATAGCTGGACTCCATCACACAGATACATCTCTTACCCCTTACTACGATCCTCCAAAAGGTACCTACATCCTGACCCCTGGAACCTGTAAATGTTATCTTATATAGGAAAAAAAAAAAGACTTTGCAGCTGTGATTAAGCTAAAGATCTTGAGATGGAGAAATTACCCTGAACTATCAAGGTAGACCTAAATATAATCACGTGTATCCTTATAATAGGGAGGCAAAGAGAAATTTGACCACAAAAGAGAAGGTATTGGGACTATGGAGGAGGCAGAGATAGAAGTGATGTAGCCGCAAACCATGGAATGCCAGCAGCCACCAGAGGCTACAAGGGGCAAGGAACTGAATTTCCCCTGGAGCCTCCAGAGGCAGCCCTGCTGACACCTTGATTCAGCCAGTGAGACTGATTTTAGATTTCTGGCTCCCAGAACTGTGCAAGAGTACATGTGTATTGTTTTGAAGTAACCGGGTTTGTGGTAATTTGTTACAGCTGCCATAGGAAACTAACTTTACTGATTCATCAAGTCATCTCCATGTTAAATACACTTCTCTGATAGCTTGCAAAAATAGCCACACTATGCACTCGCCTGTGTATCCATGTCCCTTTGCAATGTGAATTAGCAGATCCTCTTGTTAAGGGATAGGGTAGGTTTCTCCACACTATCTGTTGCTTTGGCCAATGGAATGCCATGAAAGCAACATTCTGCCAGCTCCTAGTCTAGTCTCAGGATAGCTTGCAAACTTTCTTCCTCTCACCTGGAACTCTCTGCGCTTCCATGTGAATAAGCCTAGTCTAGTCTACTGGATGCAAGAGACGAGTGACCCAGGTGTCCCCCATTGTCCAACCTGACAATGAACCATCTGCTGAAGCGTGAGTGAGGTTGTCTTCGGACAGCCAGCTCCCAGTTGACCTGCCAGTCGCTGACTGCAGATAAATGAGCAACTTCCACAGAGACCAAAATAACTGGCTCGCTGAGCCTAGCCCAGATGGCCAGCGATAGAATTGTAAGCTCAATAAATTGTTGTTGTTTAAAGCTACTAACTGTCGGGGTAGCTTGTTGTGCAGCAATAAATAACTGATGTACTCTCATAAAGCAAATTCCTTCTACATGTGTTCAGCTCTCCTATACAGATTCAGAGGGGTCTGCCAAAAAAGGACAGCTTGTAGTCTCACTTGGGGACAGTGCCAACTATTCCATTTTCTACAGGAACTCTACAGAGCACAATTTTCTACAGAAGCAACATTTCGTCATGTTGAGTATCTCAGTGAATACTTCGCTAAGGCCACCTGCTCATCACATATCACAGTGAAGAAAGTACAGACCTAGAATTGCAAGGTAGATACAAGCACATAGCTGATCTAAACATTTATTAAATATCTTGTTTCCCACCAAATACAGTTTTGAGTGATG